TGATGCCCGATTTTGCTCTCACATGACATAATCATACACGTGCAGGACGAAAACACATAGGTTGTGAAGCGAACTACAGAAGTTAAGAAATTCTCTTTCTATCATTATAACTTATGTTAATTATTCTTCATGGTGAAAATAATGGGGTCGAAATCCTGGACTTCTGGATATTTGAAAATTCCCCCTGGACGGAGATATAAGGATCAAAATAGAGGCCAGGAAAATCCGGATGTATAGTAACCTATTGGCCACTGTCACTAGCTCTTCTGCTGAACCTGACACAGACAGCCATGCTGGTGTTAGCAAGCTTTGAAAAATGGCTACAAGGCGGTACAATCCAAATTAACTCAGTGCTATTTTTATACTATGTGTGTGAGTGTGTACGCACATGCGCTCATGTTGGTCATTGAGGTTTTCTGTGGTTCCTATGAGAAGATGACTTGTAGGTGGTACTTGGATGCTTTGGTTTGATCTGAGGTGGTAATTGGTCTTAAAGGTTTGAGAACCACTGTGTTAGAATACTAGGGCATACATGTGTCCTTCATTTAAAACTGGGCTTAAATCCTATACTAGAAAAAGAGTATTCTTAAGGATTTTGTCTAAAGTGTAATTTATGTTAATCATCAAAGAAACATCTAGGCATTGCTAATTGGGTTAAGAGATGGCTTTAAACTGAAACACAAGTTAATGTAAAGGGATTTAAGATAACTCTTTTAAATACATTCTGACAATCTCAGATAATTAAAATAATATGGGAACAGCAGAAGTGTGTGATTTGCTTTGAAATGAAAGGCATTTTTATATCGTTGCATGTGTTGTACGCTATGTTTGCACTCTTCAAGCACTAGCCTTCTTTAAGTTCCCAATATCATATTCCAAACAATGGGTAACTGGGTTTTCTGTTTATTTTGCTCCTTTAATGTTGTGTGTAAATAAAAGAATTAAGCAGAGGTTAAACTATATTGAGAAAAGGTTCCAAGGGATATTAAATATCACCTTTTTTTAACTTAAGGTACCAATTGTTGGATGGTTCCTTAAAAGGCAGGTTGATAAAGTATGTGAAAGTGATGATGAACCTCTTGCCCTTTTCACTATTTGTTATATCTTACATTTAGCTACAGAGTCATCTATTTTACGGACTAATGGGACATTTCATAAATTGCATGATCTGTGTGCTGCTGCTTCTTCTTCTTCTTCGTATTCAACTGCTGATTAATTATATTACAATTTTAGCTATAAGTAATTTCAGAAATCTCGGCACTGAAGCTCCAAGAGAAAGATGACTTCTTCCATCTTTTCTTGTTAGTCATGTTTGTCTTGACCTCTTGAAACCTTGTTAAGAATTCATAAGATTACTCCTAGACGTTACTGTATAAATTGAAGTTCTTTAAGAGTTGTTGTGCAAAATACAATGTTTGTTGGCCTGGCTGTTTTTGGAATGGGAAGAGTAGATTTCATCCACATAGAGGGGATGATTTGTAAATTTAATGACGTCTGAAAACGCAAGCTAAAAATATCACATAATTGATCTGCACAAGATTGCAGAACTATTCCACACACATTACCTCTGGACCTGTGGTTTTCCTTACATTAATTATCCTAACTGCCTATGCACCCCTGTGGTGTCAATTTTAATACTATTGGCTGAGTGTTTGTGGGTATTAATTCAAAATGGGTTTAAAACACATTTAAATTATCACAGCTATTGAAATAATTCAGATTAAATCAAATTGTTAGCTAAAGAAAAAACTACACCTACCACCACATTTCTTTAAATTTGATGGTGAGCTGATGTAGGCTGAGACCTCCACCGCCTGCACTCATTGCACTAATGCTGTATATGGGTGTCTGTATATACTATGGACTGTGATGATAAATTCCCATAAACTTTATGTAAATTCTATCTTAAAAACCAGACTGTAAATGGGCAATTAGTATCATTATAATCATTAAAATCATTATGTATCAATTATTAATCTATTATCTTATAACTTATGTGTTTGTTTATATATTTATATATTTTTTAAGTTTTTCTATGCCTTAAGTTTACATCCTCTGAATGCAAAACACCCTAACAAAGTTCAGAGAAACGTCAAGAAGCGCAAGCAGACTACATTGCTAAATAACTTTAAAAAAATAAATTTACATATTACATTTCCCTCTTTATGATAAGTACAGTATTTAATAGAACTTTATGTAGTACTGTAGTTTAAGAATAAATTACTTATATTTACATTAAATTTGAATTTAAAAGTATTCTGCTCCTAAACATACGTGACACACTACACATTAAAATTCTTAAAATGTTAAATGTTTAATTGAGTTTAATGTTTAAAAATGTTGTTCATTCAAAAACACACATACAAGCTCTCATTTTTAAGTTTAAATTCTAAGTGTTTTTAAAACATATCAAACAAGGTTAAATTACATTTTAGCACTAACTTAATGTGTCATTACAGTATTCATTTTGTTTATACTCAAAATGTGAATTTAGGCTGTTGTAAACATGTGTTGTCATGTCCTGGTCCCTGGTAATGTTAAAATACATTGATTCTTTTTATAGAGAAATATGTCACCCATAGAAATATGGTCAGTGTCCCTGCTCTTGCACCAACTTGGTTGTCTCATCATGTGGATGTCCACTGTTGTCATATACCTCTCTCAAGGTCTCCTCCCACACACTGAAATTCACATACCTCTTCCCTTTGGATTATGTAACTGATGAAATGGGACTCCCTAGTTGTGCAGCTGGTTCCACTGCTTCAGGAGGATCCTTATCCTTCTCCCTCTTCCTGACCACCCTGTTGGGTCCCCGATTACCCTCTCTGTAGTGCATCAGTCTCAACAGGACTGTGTCTTCCAACCTATTATTTTCGCGGCTCATGTGATCACTTCAGTTTCCTTATCTCTCTGACTCAAAACATAGTGCCAGACCACATCTGGCAGGTGACTGCAACTCCACCTTCCATATAACACCATCCCAAAGCAGGACTTGGTCCAGGGGATCATTCCACCTCCACTAGCTGCACCAGGATTGAAATCCAGGCTACCCAACACCAACTTGAAGGGTACTGTTCGTTGTTGCATATATAGACCACAGTCTTCCTGCCATCGACATCAGCATTTCTCTCCACCCCCATACACCCTGGAAGGGAGCAATTTTCCATGCCTTAAAGAAGCACAGTGTAAGGTTCCCACCACTGAACTAAGATAAACTGGCACATCCATCCATCCTTGGACAATGATCACTTCTTTATGTCTCATCTAGTGGGCATTCTCCATAGATGAGGGTTTTGGGGTCCAAGCTGAAGACAGATCTGTTGATATGCAGCATGTCAAGCTGGTGACTCCTCTTGCACTCTGCAGCAAAACTCACAACCCAACTACTGATGAGGTGTTACTGGGTCTGATTACATTTCTCCTGATGAGAATAGGAACTGCCTTTCCTAGGTTTTATACAATATATGTACAAGATATATGGTACAGGCAATGAAGACATGTTAGATCCCAGTGCACAACTGGGTATGCACACTATGTATTGTCTCTTAACACTTCATAAAGTTGTCTGCTACTCGCTGCAGAACTAATGTGCACTTAAGAAGGTTTATGTTTAATCTTCGGGTGCATTAGACCCTTAATTAATTAGAAATTAAGAACATAAATCGAGAATAATCTGAAGTCCTAATTTTTCAATCTTATTATAGTTTATACTGTCCTACACTAGTCCTAATTTTTCTATTTGGTTTTGAAGCTCCATGTTCATGAGTAATGTTGAGGAGGTATTTTATCCTGTCTCTGAAAAGTTTACAGCATTTGGGAAGAAGTCTGCAGCCAAAATGTTCTGCACTGTATATAAAGTTGTTAAATCAGATGTACTCTGAATCATCTTTTGTTATTTTAGGAACTTATTTTTTCCTAATTCCACACATCCTGGATTCTGTTCCATGAAGATGAATTTCCTTGGCCATATACAATAGATAACAATATGACAACATTTGCCATAGATAATGCTTTGGTAGAAACTGCATTGTTCTTCTTCTTTTTAAGTAATTTTCTTCTGAAGTTCCATACAGAACACGTAGTTGTCCCACATTACGCATCTGCTGTTACTCATCTGTTAATAAAATCTTATTATATTCACAAAGAATATTCTTTTGTGTTGACACTATTTAATGAAAATGTTCCTATCTTGTCATGAGGCATCTTTGGCACCACTTTTATTATTATTGTTATAATAAATGTAGGTGAATGCCTTTGTCCAGCATGACTTGCATACAAAACAATTACTGAAATGTCAGACTTATTTATATTATGTAAAAACGACATTGTCCTGCGGTATATCAGAAAGGTTACAAATCAACATAATGCAATAAATCATACTTTACAAAACAAGTACATAACTCTTAGGAATTAAATTGATATCAACTGGTTGGGATAACAATTGAATTCTCGAGCTGTAATGCATTGAAGTTGAACACTCATCCAATCTCTGGTGTTTTCTAATATCTGAAGAGTGAAGTGATGGTGGTAATAGTTTTTACTCTGCAGGCGGAGACAAGTGATAAGGCAGCATTTACAAGATTCACCAGAGGGGTTATCGGCCAATGTTTTTGAATGTAACATAAATAAAAAATGTGTTAATAATTTCCCATAACAATGCAGTTAATTGGAGGAGGGGGGGATATGTTCCGGGTCTACTCCAGAGGATTGGCCTCACAAATTAATCAAATTCCATACATTTATTCATGTTGTTAATATACAATAAATGCTTTATACTAAAGTCATTGTTAAGCTAAATTTTTGTTCACGTTTATTACTTTTGTGTAAGAATGAAAGAAACACTGTTAATAATGGTGGGTGGTGAATGGAGTATAAAATGATGTATGTTATTGAGGTGATATTGTTAATGTATATGATGAAAAATAACATTCTGTTGGGAGTTTCTTGTTTGAGCAATGCTGCGCATTTCCACTTAACTAGTTTGTTTTTCCGTTCCCCAGGTTACACACGTGACACATCATTTTTGGAGATGGTGGTGGATATCGTCCAGGAGCTGAAGAGGCAGAACCCTAACTTAGTTTATGGTATGCCTTCTTTTTTTAGGAATTATGCTTTGCTGAGTGACTACTTTGGAAAATAAAGGAAAACTTATTTCTTATAGTCTATAACTTATAGTCTTTGAAAATGTGTTTTATCACTTGTGTTATATTCTTTTATATTACAAACACTGACAGTCAGCACTAATGTTAAAGTAAAAGATATGTTTTTTTCTTGATATAAATTAATAAAATAAACTGTTAAAGCCACTGTATATTGCCTAAGCAGTGAGGCACAATTGGCTGAATGTCAGCAGTGGTTGGCTGGACTTGTGTCAACTAAGGCTGGCCATTCTGGAGTCATGGTGGGTTCTTGAAAGATTGTAAGATGTACATCCATGCCAGCATTTCGTGTTTGCTGTCCTGTTGAGCAATGTGAAGTATATCAGGTGGATGACTGCATCAGAGAAAAGAGTCCAATCTTCTGATTCCCTGTATTGGTATAGGTAGTAATTGGCATTTCCAAATTGGGAGGTATAAAAATGAATGATGTGCTTACTTAAAATAAAAAAAAAGGTTTGGAAAACACTGGAACATCAAATCACTATGTAAGCAAACTGTAATACACTTTAAACAGCTATGATGTGTTTTATCATTTTTATCA